AGCATATCGGTCAGAGCACGAAGGCTATTGGTCAAGGAGTGACCGATAGAAGACCTATCGATCAAGCCTATCGGTCAGAGAAGTGACCGATAGAAGAGCACCGTGTATATTTCGGTCACCCTATTGGTCACCTTCTAGACCGATAGGCCTATCGGTCAAACCTATCGGTCACCTTTTAGACCGATAGGATTATAGACGAAAGACCACTTACTTACAATTTTACCATTTTTGCTTGGACTCCTTTAAATACGAAAAATCCCTAATTTCTGGGAACAGTCTTTTATCCAGCAATCTTTTCTTCTTTGTTTTAGCTTTTTGATTTTGTAACTTGAATCTTTGCTTGGTTTTAATTGAAGTTTGCATTTATATTCTTGTTTAATCTCTCTAATCATGATTAGTCATCTTTCTCTCTTTGAATTAAAGACTTTAATGGTGCTTAGTGAGTAGTCTTTTTAGGGATTTGAGATGGGTTAGGTTTAGGAAATTTGAAACTTAATCTATGATGTTTTAGTGTTAATCATTCCATTTCCTTTCTTGATTGTTGTGTTTAATGCTTAATTAGCCCTAGCTAAGTTGATTAAGATCTTAGGCTCATTTTATGCCCACCAAGTGTTTGATGAAATGCCTGAACTGCTTTGCAAGAGAATTGCTTATCCTAGCTCAAGAGATTGACTGTCTAGGGAGTGATTTGGCAAAATAGGGTTGATAGAATTGTCTTAATGCTTGCTGTTTATCATTTCACTATAAGAATTAGTTCTTGACTTGGTAATTAGCAAAGAGATTAGTACAAAGAGATTGGATTAGTCATATAAATGAATCCTATGCATAAGGAATAACATTGTGTGAGTTTGTAAGCATCATAGGTTGAGTCAAGAGTTCCCTAACACCAATAATCTCCTCTCAAGTCCCACCTTTTCTCTGTTTTTAGCTTGAATTCGAATCTGCTCTGTTTTACCTTTGTTCTAGTTGTTTTGCTTGCCTTTCACTCTTTGTTTGATGTTATCTTCATTTTTGCTTGATCCTTTAGATTGTTAGACATCTAAACCATCTATATTTGCTTGAATTAGGATCTTTATTGCACTCTTACTACTTCATTCTCCCCTTTTGGATTGATAAAACCCTATGCTATAGTACAACTGACTATTACAAGCTTGGGTGATTAAATCAAGTCCTAAAAAGTCTTGTATCATTTAGACCGAGTAGTTCGCCAAGGAGTGCGCCAATGTTGTTCGTAAAGAAGAAGGATGGAAGCTTCAAGCTTTGCATTGATTACCGTGGATTGAGCCGAGTTACTGTAAAGAACAAATATCCACTTCCTAGGATATACGAGTTGTTGGACTAACTCTGGGGAGCTACTTGGTTCTTTAAGATCGATTTGACATCAGGGTACCATCAACAACCCATAGAGGAGACATACGTGCGTAAGACTGCCTTTCAGATAAGGTATGGTCATTATGAGTTTGTGGTCATGCCGTTTGGTTTAACGAATGCGCCAACTGCGTTCATGATGCTGATGAATGGCGTCTTCAGGGATAACCTAGATGAGTTTGTGATCATTTTTATAGATGATATTCTAGTATAGTCAAAAGAGTGAGAAAGAACATAGAGGCCATTAGAGGACTGTTCTGGAGAAGTTGCGAGAACAGAGGTTATATGCCAAGCTCAGTAAGTGTAGCTTCTGACAAAGGCCTATAAGGATCTTGGGTCACATTGTGTCGGACAAGGGAGTGTCCGTGGACCCAGAGAAAATTCAGGCCATAGCGGATTGACCAAGACCGGAGAACGCTTCAGAGATAAGGAGTTTTAAGGGGTTAGCTGGATACTATAGGCAGTTTGTCAAGGGCTTTGCAAGCATGGCTCAGCCAATGACAAAGCTGACTAGGAAAGACGTGGAGTATGTCTGGTCAGAGGACTCTGAAGATTGCTTCTCGAAGTTAAAGGAGTTACTCACTAGTGGAACAGTACTGGCGTTACCAGAACCAGGTGAGCCGTACGTGGTATACATGGATGCATCACGGAAGGGACTAGGGTGTGTCCTGATGCAGGATGGTAATGTGATAGCTTATGCTTCGCGGCAGCTGCGGAAGCATGAAGGGAATTATCCTACGCATGATTTAGAGAAAGCGTTGTTGTGGTATTTGCACTGAAGATATGGAGGTCGTACTTCGCGGTTTTGGAAAGATTTCCGGGAAGCGTGCGGAACAAGTTTGCATATGAGTATATCATATCACCCATTGACTGATAGACAGTCAGAACGGACAATTAGAACTTTGGAGGATATGCTGAGGGTATGCGTTTTGGACTAGGGTGGTAACTGGGAAGATTACTTATCATTGGCAGAATTCGCATACAACAATGATTACCATAGGAGCATTGAGATGTCTCCATATGAGGCATTGTATGGCAGGCCGTGTAGGACACCCTTGTGTTGGACATAAGTGGGGGAGCGTAGCATGATGGAGCCAGCAGTGGTCGAGGCTACTACAGAAAAGATCCGGTTTCTAAAGGTTAAGTTGAAAGAGGCAATGGACAAGCAGAAAAGACATGCGGACAAGCATCACAAGGACTTGGAATTCAGTGTAAGAGACATGGTCTACCTAAAGGCACTAGCGTATATGGGGACGGATGGAGCATCTAAGTACGCTAAACTGAGTTCGAGGTACATGGGACCGTACCGGATACTGGAATGAGTTGGCGCGGTTGCATACAAACTGGACTTGCCATTGGAAATGGGAGCGTTCCATAATGTATTTTATGTGTTGCAGCTCAAAAAGCATATAAACAAACGTGAGAAGGTTATAAAGGAACCGCCTGCAGACTTGCAAGAGGACCTTGCAGTGGTGGCTAGGCCGGTTCGTGCCATAGGCAGGAAAGAAAAGACTAAGTGGGGAAAGCTAGTCAGGATGGTCCAAGTCGTATGGGATTGCAACGGATATGAACAGGTTTCATGGGAAGAGGACGCTAGGATGAAAGCCGGCTTTCCCAAGTGGTTTGATAAGCTACAAACGGAAGAGCCGAGTTCAAGGGCTAATCCAAATCGGGTGGGGGAGAGTGGTAGCATCTGTATCCGAGAAAACTAAAATGATTGAGGCTGACAGGACGTTGTTCGAGGGATGATCGAGCCAAGGTTCGGATATTGGCTGGGAAATGGGAGGTTTAGAATATGGTCGGGTGATATCTGGGAAATAGTCGAGGGATGGCTGGGAATAGCCGAGACAGATGGACCATATCCGAGAGAAAAATGGTTTAGTCCGAGTGAGAGTGGTCTGTGTCCGGAGAAAAGGAAAAGTATTTGAGAGAAAATCGAAAATAGCCTAGGGAAATAAGTTTAGTCCAAGATAATCTGGGCTGGGACGTGGGCCATGTAAGTAGGTCGGCTAAAATGTGGTTTATCGCGCGAATGGTAGAGCCGGTATGGGTTATAGCCGAGAGAAATCAAATCGGATCGGGATAAATCCTACTGAAACCAGGAAACGTCAGTTAAGTCCTATTTACTCAGGGTTTTGCGAGTATATAAGGCGTTTTTGAGACTTACCTGGAGAGAGTTGCATTATTTGAGAGAAATAATGCAAGAGAGAGAGAGATTAGTCAAGAGAAAACTCTAGAAAAGTCAGTTTATCTCGAGAGTAACCGAGAGAGATTAAGCTAACGATGTACGGATCCAACCATCGCCAAGATAAACTAGTAAGCTATCGGGTATTTCCCTTAGTTTCAAGTTTCCATCGGATAACATCAGCTTAATCGGTGTGTTTTGTGGGGTTTTTAAGGGAATACAGAGTTTTGCTCGAAGGAAAGTGAATGGATCGAGGTATAACCGAGAGGAGGAGAGATCGGATCGTAGTGATAGCCGAGAAATCCCTAGGGTGTTCGGATATCTTCGTTTCCACGCGATTTTCACAAAGATTTCGTCCGACCAATCTGTTTCCAACCTTGTTTAAGGTGAGTGCGTGACTGTGGTTAGTATCTAGGATCATTGGATTGCTAGGGTTTGATGTGGTGCATGTTTGATTGTGTGATTTTCATGTTGTGTGCTTAGCAATTGATAAACGATTATATGTTATGATATTGTGAGGTGTTTACCAGGGCATAGATGATGTCTAACTAACCTCAGGGTAATCTGGATCATGTGCTAGCTTAGGGGATGTGTGATTTTCGCTGAAGTAGACATGAGTCTTAAAAAAGGATTGATTATGAGTTAGGGTAGATGATCATGGCCATTTGATATGTTATACGTTTATTGCCAATTGGTTGTATGGATGTTGAATCTGATAGTATGAATGCGTGAATGATACTGGCTAAGGTGTTACAGGATGACCATACTCACTAAGTATTTATGGCAATATGTATGCCTCTCTTGTTTGAGTGTGCAGGATCTAAGCAGTAAGTGGAGCGAGACCGACGGCAGTGATGGATATGGAAAGATCAGGGATTGGGTGTTTTATGTTACAAAACTTGTGTTTTAGGTCTTATGGGCTTTGGTGTTAATCGTTAGGTTGCTAGATGATCTGTTGTATTCATTCGCAAACCTTGTGCTTTGTTTTAAGTGAACCCCGAATCTTGTTTAAGTATTTTTATTCAAGTTATAATGGAATGAAATGGTTTGTTTGAATCCTCTGTGTACTGATAATTGCAAAAAAAAGTTTAAAAATTTGCCTAAGTATAGAAACAGACTGTTACGATGTAGTGAAGGCAAGACTGCGGTTTAGTTAGCCGGGTCGGTCTCCACATGACCACTTTGCTGGAGCTTTGGTCAACAGAACCAGCCCGTAAAATGAGCAAGTCAGCGGCTGAGTCACGCAAATCAAACCCTCATAAAAAAGGGATGCAGGCATTCCTCGAGGGGAGGTGTGGTTAGCTTTCGAGTAGTACGGGTTCTTCCACAGGTCCTCGAAATATTTTAAAAATCGAATATGATATGGTAAATGAACATCTTTGTCTCCCTTTTTTAATCTTTAATATGTTATACTTTCTACTTATTTGTATATCTCTTTGTTTTCCAGATGGTGGAGTCTGGTCTTTATGAACCACCACTTTACATCAATCTCGTGCGGAAGACACACAAGCGATCAGATGGAAATGGTCGATCTGAGACTCTTGTCCATGAAGTAGAGAAAGTTGTAGCACAAATGACAGCTGCTGATGGATCTCCCATTTCTTCCAGCCAAACCACCTCAACAGCTGCAACTCCTTCTCGCATTCTCCTCAACCAAGAATTTCTCAAAGTACTCGAAAATAACTCACTCATTCCTTTAGTCTCTGTTTGTCGATAGTTAGGGATATGGTTTTGGGTTTGTGTAAACTTGTTTCGACTTATTGCCATTTACTTGAGTTGTGTATGTATCTTATATGGATTTGTGTGTGAGAATAAGAATTTGAGTTGCTATTTCTGTTGTGTTTAGTAATGCATTTTTGGATTCTGTTATCTCTGATTTTGTCTATTTTATTCTTTTTACAATGCAGTAGACAAGCCATGGGAGAGTATACGGAATATGCAGTGTGCAGCTACGGGATTTCAATCCGACCGAGTCAGTCCATGAATCTCTTTCACACAGCATGGACATGGACATGTGTATCTCTAGTTTGGAGGTTCATTCGGAAGCTTTCAAGTCAAACATTACCGAACTTAAACAAGATGTGGTGGCGATGAAGGGTGAGTTGAAGGAAGAGTTAGCCACGGTCAAGGATGAAATGGTGTCCATACTATATGCATTCCTACAAAAGCTTGGAACCACTCTTCCTGCTGCTGCTGCCCGTACACATTCTCATGCTGCTGCTGCTGCTACTGCCCGTACAGCTTCTCCTCTTCCTGCTGATGCCTCTACACATTCTACTCCTCCTGCTAAGACCATAAACCCGACTCAAGAACAATCCACACTAGATAAGTTGTGTGATGCTTTATTAGGAGAGTAATTTTTTTTCTGTTCTAATTAAACTTATTAAAGCTTGAGCTTTGAATGTTTAGATGCTGGAAATCTTTTCATGTGTGATATTTGAGGGATCGGCTCAACCACATGAAGCGTGTCATTACGCATCAGATGAACACAATCATATGATGAAGCTTTTGAAGTAAAAGAATGGAAAAATGCCATGAAAGAAAAAATCGAAATGATAGAGAAGAACAAGACATGGCTACTTCTGGACAAACCGAAAAAGAACATTATTAGTGTGAGGTGGATATATTGTATCAAGATGGATGTGAATGGAAATCCGACCAAGTAAAAAGTCAGGTTAGTCACAAGAGGATTCTCTCAAGATTATGGTGTGGATTATCTTGAAACAGTTGCACCAATGCCAAGACATGACACGATTCGAACCATTCTTGCCTTTGCCGCACAAATGAAGTGGAATCTTTATCAAATGAATGTAAAGTCGGCATTCCTCAATGGCGAGCTTGAAGAAAAGATCTATGTTGCACAACCACCCGGATTTATAGTCGAAGGTAAATACAGACAAAGTTCTTAGGCTGAAAAAGCATTGTACGGCTAAAGCAAGCCCCTCCGGCTTGGTACGGGAGAATTGATTCATAATTTCTCCAATATGGATTTGAAAGGAGCATGAATGATGCGGCTATGTACGTGATGGAGAAAGACATAGATCTTTTGATTGGGAGCCTATACGTAGACGACATAATAATCACTGGGAACAATTCTCAATTCTCAACTCATTGACAAGTTCAAGCTAGACATTAAAAAGGAGTTTGAGATGACAGATTGTGCTGAATTATTTTCTTAGAATGAAAATAATTCAAGATGATCGTGAAATTTTTCTTTCACAAGAAAAATATGCATGCAAACTTATTGAGAAGTTTGGTATGAAGGATTGTAAGAGTGTACGTACACCACTTACACCACACGGAAAATATGTTGAAGATAATGGAGAACACGGTGAACCGATAAAGTATTGATGTCTTGTTGGTGGTTTGTTGGACTTATGTGCATCAAGACCAGATTTGATGTTTGCAAGTTATTACCTCTCATGCTACATGTCTGCACTGCTCATAAAGCATTACAAAAAAGCTAAGCGAGTGCTAAGGTATGTAAAAGGAATGTCTCATTTTGGAGTTCAGAACGTCGATAGTCTGGAGTTACAAGGTTACTCGGACAGCGACTGGGATGGCTCCAATTAAGATAAAAATATCACAGCTGGGTATGTTTTTACTATTGGATCTGCAATGTTTTGTTAGAAATCAAGCAAACAACAAACGGTGGCTCAATTAATAGCGGAAGCGGAGTATATTGCAGTGTGCATAGAAACAAATCAAGCAATCTGGTTACAAAGGCATTTAAGTGAGATTGGTTCTGAGTCTCGAGGTGGTGTTCCGATTTACTGCAACAACAAGTCTGCAATTGCAATTTGGAAAGAATCCAGTTCAACATCAATGAACAAAACACATTGAGATCACGTATCACTTGGTGCGTGAGGCAGAACACAAGGGCCTTATTCAACTCAAATATTGTAAAGGAGAAGTTCAACTTGCAAACCTGCTTACGAAATCACTTGACGTCTCAAGGTTTGAAGAACTAAGGAAGAAGCATAGAGTAAGACCAAAACTCAATTAAGGAAGAGTGTTAGTTGATAACTGAGTTTGGTAACTAAGAGTCGTGACTTATCATATTAAGAAGGGTGGTTTATATTCCAAGAGTCACAAGAAGGAATAGACACAACCTTTCACTTTCGTGTCTATTTTTTTCTATATAAGTCGTTGTTGTTGTTGTTTTATTCTAAAACTCAAGTTGTTTTACAGATTTTATTTTATAAATAAAGTTCTATATTTCTTTGCACTTAAAAAAGAGTATACTCTCTTCTACTCTAATTTGGAACATAAGTTTTGAACAAAACACACCAACGACATGGGAAGACAAACGAGCAAGAAGAGCTGATCTCATAGAGGAGTTCAAGAAAAGTCCAATTTCTTAAATAATCTAATATATAACAAATAAATAGGGGACTCTCCATCGTTAATACGCCAGGTCTCCCTTATTGTTACAGTGTTTGATAATTGACATGGTTTGATAATTAAAAATCATTTGATTTGAGTTTGAAAACGTGAGAACTCTAAAATCTCGGAAACTGTATTTTGATTCATGATTTGCATACCACATTAGACATAACCTACAATAAAGACATTCTCACCATAGTCAAGTGCTCTAATCACCGATCCTTCATATCAACCCCAAATTTATAGGTGTTATGTATTCAACTCTGTAGCTCTATTTATTCATGAAAGTGTTTGGTAAGCTTTCCTCATATCGAAATGTAAGACACAAAATATGACACTAGGTATCAAAAGTTTTTCTAGTGGTGAGGTTGATAAAGGATATAAGTGTTTAAGTGTTGAAGTGTTATTTTCTCCACCGGATTCGAGTTAATATATAAAACAGAAAGAGAGAATAGACTTATTGATATCTACAGTTTCTAACCACTTTTTTTTGCGCCTATCTTCCCTTAGATTAAGATTCTTCAAGGAATCTCTGTGAAAAGTATGTCTATCTTCCTCGTTGATCCATGGCCTTTCATAAGACTTGTGACTGCAGTGAGGTTCTTTTAAATGTAAACTGTTTCTTTTCCCCTTGTTTATTCTCATATTTGATAATTTTCTTTTAGAACATCAACCATCATCATTTTGACAACTCATGTGTTTTATATTCTTTATCTTTTTATTTTTCGAAAAGGTAAACAGATTTTAGGACTTAGAATCTCATTGACACTGAATTATACCTTGTTGGTATAGCTCAACGAAATGTGAGCTCTGGAACCTACCAATACCCAACCAAATTGTGTTTCCAAGTTCAGTGGCTGGAAAACCTGTATCATTTATTTCTCTCCGACGTTTTTGTACATAAATGCATATAATATCATAAATCAAATCGAGTATGTAAGGAGTTTGAAAAAAGGTAAGGTAAATGGTAGGATAGCAACTAAAAATGGATTAGCCTTTCAGGATCATCATAGAATGGCAAAATGAATAAGAAGTCATGCATGTATAATTCATTTCCAAATTTAAAACACTTCTAGTGAGAAAAGATTTAATAATCTGGTTATAGTCTAATAGGTCAAAGTTATCATATTATCTGGTAGGTAATCACTATGAACCGAAGTTCCCATGAGACTTCGAGTCACATAATTTCATGATATTAAACACTATAAGAAAATCATGAAAAAAAATGTCAATGGGAACATTAATCATAGCACATGTGATATAAGAATTTATCCTAGGACTTCATCATAATTCACCATTAAATGTTATAGAACTTGAAGCACAACAGTAAACCTTCGCTGCAAAGATTATCTATGCCTAAACTTTAAAATTTCAAATTCTTTTGCAAAATCAAATAATTCAGACAAGCATTAAAATTCATGTTCGATTGTCTACAAAATTTCTAAAGAACGTGAGTGCTCACTGGTAGAGGCGGTCGAGACGGTAAAACATATAAAATATTTTAGTTGATATGGAAACCTTTTTATACAGTTAAAATAGTATTCGTGATATCGGTAATTATAAGTTAATCTTTCATTTGTTCTAAAAAACTAGGAAGCAAAATTCTTCCTGTTGATGTCTCATTTCTAAAATCAGATATTCAATTATCTGCATTTATTTATTCTGGAAATTTAGTTTTTCACTGCTTATTTCATCTAAATCATCTATACAATCATTTAAAATCATCTATTCATTTTTCATTGTCTTTGTTCAGGAATCATCTCTCTATTATGAAACATCTAATTTTTTCTTCATGATGAAAATTTTCTGAATCATATAAATTCAGCAAACATATCATTTCACGGATATTATGTTTTAAATAATCTTTTGTAAAACTTTCTATCAAATCGAATGATTAAAATCTCTACTCTTCTGATGCCGGCGATATTGCTAACAGCTATCAAAAATAGATCGACACTTCAGTCAACAGCGATCCGAAGTGGATTAGAGATAGCTCAAGATGGATTGGCGACGCCAACAACACAGTCAAAGGTGTCGGCGATGCAGCACAATTCAAAAAAAAATGGACTAATTAATTCAAACTCACAAGCTATTTAAATATAGAGATTGTTTTAGTATGTCTAATATTTATGGAACCGAAACTCATTTACATATCAATCTAAGACATTTCTCATGAAAAAATAGACTATCAAATAAAACTATATTTTTTAATCAAAAAGTAAAACAAAATCCCTTTATATTATTCGCTGGAAAAGAAAATACAATAACCTTTTATAATATTAATTCATTTTTCATCTCTTTTATAATATTAATTCATTAAAATAATTTTAGAATAAAGTTATAATATTCTGAAATGCAATTAGATATCTCTCTAATATATTATGTCATTTCTCATTTCAAATGAATATTTTAAGAATATTATTTTTATTTTATTATTAATTATTAATTATACACATTTTTAAAAATATACAAATTGACCCATTACTTTTTAATTTTAGTATTTTTATCCATCATATTTATCAATCTAGCCCATCAAGGTTTTCTGTTTTCACAATTCAGGTCGTTGCATTTTATTTATGTTAGTTAGACCTCATATGTTTAAGGGATAATTTTTGAATAACCGTTGACAAATTTTATTACAAAACAAAACCCTTCCAAAAGAGAGGTCCACTAGTTCTATCGATACTTGGGTTAAGTTTCTGCTTGCAAAGAGAAGGATTTACAT